CTTCTGCTGAAACTGACCAGCGCTGACTACAGGAAGCCCGAGGCAGAGTTGCTCTGCCCCGGGCTTCCTGGAATCAGCTGCTGATCAGTTTCAGCAGCAGCTGACTTGGGGACGCCTGGGGTTCTTAAGTTGATTCTGTATGTAAGTCAGAACTGGTGGTCAGTTTCAGCAGTGTCTGAATCTGGACGCCAGTTCCGACTTACATACAGATTCAACTTAAGAACAAACCTACAGTCCCTATCTTGTACGTGCTCTGCCCCGGGCTTCCTGGAATCAGCTGCTGATCAGTTTCAGCAGCAGCTGACTTGGGGACGCCTGGGGTTCTTAAGTTGATTCTGTATGTAAGTCAGAACTGGTGGTCAGTTTCAGCAGTGTCTGAATCTGGACGCCAGTTCCGACTTACATACAGATTCAACTTAAGAACAAACCTACAGTCCCTATCTTGTACGTAACCCGGGGACTGCCTGTACTTAGAGTAGTTATCTATGGTTTATTGTCAAAATGGGGGTGTATCTAGCAGGGTCTTGCAGGGATCTTTCCTGGGTATAGTATATTAAATATTTTCATTTAATTACTTGAATAATGAAGTATGTGACATTACCTTCCATATTCTTTATGAAAATATGCTTATCCTAATTAATATAACTGATATGTGGGTTATCTTACATAAAGTACATAAGGTATCATTGGAAAGATTATGATTTACTGAATGTGATTATCCTATTTGCATGCATGTATCATTTTTGTAACTGAAGTTAAAAATATTGACTCTGTATTCCAGCTGTGCTATTTTGGGTGACACCCCCTGCTAGCACTTCAGGACCAACAATGGAAAAGCGAGAGAGAGCAAGAACAATGGACTGTGAAAAGGTTTGGTTTGGTTGGCTTCCCTGTGGATATACTATTACTGACTCACGGATGCTGTAGAGTCAGGTGACCCGGTCGCCTGATACTAACCACCACCTTGTACTGTTACACTTTGATTCCATACACCTCCAGTGGAAAAACAAAGGATTCACGCCTTATGGAGCTATGGGAGGGAAACAGTACCTTCAGTTTGCTTCACCTCTGCCACCACATCCACAGAGATACTTGTAACCACCTAGAAACAAAAGGAGTAACAGAAGGAGAAAGGGAGAAGAACTGCTGGACCCAGGCTAGAAGGACACCTCTGGCCTGTGAAGGACTCTACCTAAAACAATATCCAGGGTGAGGAATTATTATTTGTAGCCAATTTTTTTTAGTGAATTGAGCTTAGTTTGTGTGCTTTGTATTATTTTCTTAGCAAACAGAACAAAGCAGATTACCATCTCTCTATGCACTTAATACACCTTTTGGTAGACAATAAATAGGAAAAAGTATATTATATAACCTGGATTATGTAATTTCTAACGCACAAAGTTGTATATGTATCAACATATTCAAGTTGAATATGAGTCAACAGTGTGATGCTGTTGCAAAAAAAGCAAATATGATTCTAGGTTGTATCAACAGGTGTGTTGTAAGCATAACTCGTGAAGTCATTCTGCCGCTCTACTCTGCACTAGTTAGGCCTCAGCTGGAGTACTGTGTCCAGCTCTGGGCGCCACATTTCAAGAAAGATGTGGAGAAATTGGAAAGGGTCCAGAGAAGAGCGACAAGAATGATTAAAGGTTTAGAGAACATGACCTATGAAGCCAGGCTTCATGAACTGGGCTTGTTTAGTTTGGAAAAAAGAAGATTAAGGGGGGACATGATAGCGGTTTTCAAATATCTAAAAGGGTGTCACAAGGAGGAAGGAGAAAATTTGTTCCTCTTGGTTTCTGAGGACAGGACAAGGAGTAATGGGCTTAAAGTGCAGCAGGGGAGGTTTAGATTGGCCATTAGGAAAAAATTCCTAACTGTCAGGGTGGTCAAATATTGGAATAAATTGCCAAGGGAGGTGGTGGAATCTCCCTCTCTGGAGATATTTAAGAACAGGTTAGATAGACATCTGTCAGGGATGGTGTAGACGGAGCTTGGTCCTGCCTTGAGGGCGGGGTGCTGGACTCGATGACCTCTCGAGGTCCCTTCCAGTCCTATTATTCTATGATTCTATGATTCTATCCTTCACATTGAAGGAGAATGTGAATTTTATATGACTGGATTTGTACTCCAAGGTAGGCGAATACCTGCAACTGTGGCAAGTCCCTTAAGGTGTGTCTTCCTAGAGCTGAACTCACTGTCTGTAATGTTCATCAGCTGGTTTGGCCCTGCCCGTGTGCTTGACAAGAAAAGGCTTGTGAGCCTGGCCCAGCAAGACAGAGTTAAAGGGTGCCCAGGCTGGTAGAAAAGGCAGGCTAAGTGGTATATTCAGCACATCAGATGGCATCCAAGCCATCAAAAAGAGTTGCAGATCAGGTTTGCGGGTGACACCTAACTTGGAGTGATTGCTGGTACTTAGGAGAACAGAACTAGAATCCAAAAGGAACCTGATAAATTGGAGAAAAGGCCTGAAATCAACAAGGTGAAAATAAATAAAAAGAGGGAAGTATACACTTAGTGATTCTCCATTTTGAGGTTATGCATTTGATTTCATTCCTAACTAGGAAGTAGCGCTGCTGGAAAGGATCTGGGGTGATGTAGTGAATCACAAATTGAATACAAGTCAGTGTGGTGCAATGACCAATCATTCCAGGGCATATTAACAGGAGTGTTAAATCTAGGACACAGAAAATAACTCATTCTTGTCAACACTGGTGAGGCTTCAGCTGGAGTACTGTGTCTAGATCAAGGTTCTGTACTTTACAGCTTGTCTTTTTTTTTTTTTTTTTTGAGAGAGTAGAGCCACAAATATGAAAGATTTCGCAAACCTAACCTGTGATGGAAGATTTAAAAAAAATATTTAGTCTTGATAAGACAGCTAGGAGGTGGTGACTGTAAATATGTTAAAAACTGTGATGAATTGTTCTCCTTCAGCAAGGAAGGTTCAGGCTAGATATTAGGGGAAACTTTTTAATTATAAGGGTAGTAAAGCACAGGAATAGGCTTCAAGGGAGTTTGTGGAATCCCTGTCTTGCCTGCCTTATTCTTAAATACCTCCAAACACCTGTCAAGAATATTGATTGACTTAGTCCTACCTCACTTTACGGTGACTGGATTATGTTGATCCTGTCTGGTCCCTTCCAGATCTACATGGAATGGGCAAGGCTGAGTGCATTAAGGAATAACATTGTATTTTAAAATATTCCTTCCCATTGTTACTAATAAAACTCTAAATTAACATTGACACTTGTAAAATTCAAATTTATTTTTTTCATTTGTGTCCTTGTCCAACACCATAGGTATTTTAGGGATAATTATTTTCTGATAGGCTATTGTACACGGATTTGAAGCTTTTTTTAAGTCAAGACATAACTGTGATATCCTCCCCATGCCTTATGAGAATTGGCTTGTGAATACGAATATGCATAACTAGGTTTTACACAAAATACCTTATGTAACATACCAATTTTGTTATAATTGGCTGACTGTATATATTCTGTTTTTGTTCATGTATCATTCTTGTATATGAAGCTAAAAATATGAAGTGTGAATCTATTTATAGTTCTAAATATGTTTAATGAGGGCCATTATGGGTTCCCTGGAAACTAAATGACTCCATTATTCACAGATTGTTGTTTGTCCTGTAAGCTGAAATTGTGGGTTGGTCCTACAAAGACATGTGATCATGCCACCTCATCCTGGAATCTTATCTTGGATCTGGTAATTTTTCATGGGAATGGGATGTTACACTTGTAGAAATAGAACTAGCAAACTCTTATTTAGGGGACAAGGCAATATGCTGGGTTTACTGTGAAATCAATTCATTTAGGCTATGTCTACACTACCAGGTTATTTCAAAATAAGTTATTTTAAATAACAAGCTTGGTAGTGTGTATGGTTGCTTTTGTTATTTTGAAACAACATGCCCTTTTTGCCCCTAGCTACTAAAATTGTCCACCATACATATACACACTCATGCCCGTGGTTTTATAGATGGGATATAATTACCGGCCTCTGTTGCTTATGCTAGTCTACTGGCCAGGTGGTCTAGACATGAGGAGGGGAGCTGGCTCATGTCGGTGTGCAGCGATGATTCTGAAGGATGATTATAGAATACAAAAAACAATTTTATAGTTTTGTGCCTATCTCTTTGTGTTTTAGTCCTCAGATCCAATGTTGTCCCACTGCCCCATGGCACTGTGACCATGAGTCAGCACTTAATAGCAGATGTGACTTTAATCTTTTCTTGATGGTGCTTTTGCCTCTCTCTATTGGGTGGGTGGCATTATTCTTTGGCTATCAAGGTGATGCTAGCAGCTAGTCACCCAGACCAGTGGTTCCTAACCCCCCCAGATTGCAGACTGGTGTCAGGCCACAGCATGCTGCTTCACACTGGGTATTGCTCTAGGACCCAGCAGCTGCAAGCAGGGGCTGCAGTGTGGTGGGTGCCACACTAGGACCCAGCAGCAGGAACTGGGGGAAACTATCCCTGGCTCAGGGCAGGAGCAGGAAGCAATTCGCAGCCGCTGCTGACAGGGACTCTGGGGTCAGGCTCCAGGCCTCAGCTCCAGCGGCAGCTGTGGCAGGGCCCCCAGAGTCTGGGCTGCAGTGGGGAGGGGGAACCCTATCCCAGGGCATTACCCCCAAACTGACTAGAGCCCTAACCATACCCTGCCCCAGGGCAGGTAGTGTTTGGAGGCCAGGTAAGCGACACACACCACCCCGAGCTGCAAGGGGAGGGTTTGGCCCCGGGCTGCCTGCGTATGTGGGGTCAGGAGGAGCCAGCCCTGGGGGGAGGGAGGGCTGAAAAGGGGCATGAGGGGGGAACAGGGATGTGTGAGGAGGGGGATGCAGGAGGCTCTGAAGGGAGGTTGGGGAGATTTATGGAGCAGATAGGAGCAAGAGTGCAATGGAAGGGAAACTAAGGGTGAGTCACAGGGAGGGAAAACAGGGAGACTGTGGGAGCAAGAGCAGCTTGGCTGGGGAAGTGAGCGACACAGGCCAGGAGTTGTACAGGAGGGGACAAGGGAGCTCCCCCACCCCATGTACAGGGGCGGAAGGGAGAAGTGACCTGTGGTAGCACTTGAGGTATCCGCTCCTATGCCCCTGACAAAATTCAAATAGCTAAATAGGGTGCTCCACATACTCCCTGCCCCTCCCTCTGCAGGCACTAGTTGCCTCTGGGAGAGGGGCTGCCCCTCCTAGCAGCCAGAGGGGAATTCTTTCTGTGTGTCTTTTTTAGTGTTGTAGATATCAGCAAACTCTGATCCATTATGAAATGTATTGTGTGTACACAGATGTGATGTAAACTAACACATGACCTCTTAAAATTAATTACCATAATAATATGCAAATAACTTTTAGACTTAACTTTTTTGTGTGTGTCAATGGGTTTGCCAGTCAACTGCATAAAAAAGGTTGGGAACCATTTATACACACACACAACCATATTCACACTTAAAAATGAGATTATAGACACTACTGCCTGTAAACAGTGCTAAGGTAGTACAAACTTTAAAATCAGGTTTCAGTTACAATACAGATATGTTAAAATGTGTTTAATTTAGGTAACAACTGAAAGCTGGCTCCATACGTGTACTGGTTCCTGCTTCCCTGCTGATCCTTTTCCCCAGCATTGCCTCTTCTGATACAGAGGCAGTAGTGAGTGGAAGAGACACTGAATGTTTACTAATGAGCCTTGTCTGGGGAAGACCCAAGGATCTGGCCCCAGAGAGCAGGAAGACTTATCTGTTATCAGTATGCATTACAGTAATAGAGCAGGGGTCCCCAGCGTGGTGCCCACAGGCACCATGGTGCCCACCTGGGCATTTTGTGCACCCATGCCAGTGTTTTAAAACAGTGGTCTCCAAAGTGGGGTGCATGCACTCCAAGGGGTGCACAAGACTATCACAGGATGCACATGCCGCTGTGCAACAGCTGAGAGGGGAGACGCTGGTTTGCAAGACATCTGAGGGAGCGCATGCGAGGTGTGTTCAAGCGCCCACGCAACAGCTGAGAGGGGAGACACCCAGCGTGCTGTGATGTCAAACTGGAAGGCAGAAGATGAGGGTGCAGGAAAAATAGGGGGAAGGGGTGGGAGAGGAAGGGGCTTGTGCTGAGGGGAGAGGGGCAGGTCAGGAGAAGAAAGGGGAAGGCACAAAAGGACAGCATGGAGGAGAGACAAATGCCAGGGGGCCAAGTGGAGACAATGAGGAAAAGGGCAAGAGGGGAGGTGTCAGTGGGAGCGGGGACAGAGTGATGCTGGGAGAGGAGAGGATAAGGGCATTGGGGACTAGAGTGGGGAGAGGGAGATGCTGGGAGAAGGCTTGAAAGAAGGGGTGGGCATGAGAAAGGCGGGGATGGAGCAACTCATGTGTGAGAGCACGGGCATCAGGGGAACGGGGGCAGAGAGTAGTAAGGGGGTGGGAATCAGGGAAAAAGGGGGAGGCATCAAGAGGGTGCAGAGCTAAGGGAAGGTGCAGGTGCCAGAGGATTCTGGGGGTGAAGCAAAAGGGAAGACACCTGCAGGGGAGTGACCAGCACCAGGGGAGAGAGGCAGGGCATGTATGTAGAGGGAGGTGTTAGGAGAGGGGGTAGCTCATATGATCAGAGTGGGGCTACTGGAGGAGTGGGCACAGGGTGGAGAGAAGGGCTGGTGGAGAGGAGCAGGTCTCAGGAGGGCTAAGGGCAGTGGTCAGGACAGCAGAGGAGGGTGAGAGGTTGGGGCGCAGCAAGCACTGGGGAGCTGATGGAGCAAGGGGAGGAGACATGGTAGCAGATGGTGGGGACATGGTAGGGATGGGGAGTGTGAGATTTAAAGGTGCCATGATTTTGGGGGGGGGAGGGTGCTTTTTTTTGCTCAGCATTTTGACATCCCCTTTTTATTAATGCAGAATTTTGTTTAAAAATTAATTACAATATAATTAAAATAATTATCCAGCTAAATTAAGTTTCTATCAAATGTATCCAGTTCATATTTAATATAAAGATAGCCTTCAATTTGCGCATTTGACACCTTTTTTCTATTTTTTCTCCAAGGGGGGGGGGGAGGGCAAATAATTTAAATAATACCTTTGACATGTAAAATTACCTTTTTTTAATCTTATGGATTCATATATTATGTAATATTAAATATGATGTTTTTCATATTATTTAATGCACAAATACAAAATAAGCCTTGAAAAATTGTTGGCATCTGCCACTCTTCTGAAAATATGCATGTGCTATTGGGCACAAAAAGGTTGGGGATCGCTATAACAGAGATCGCTATAACTTTCATTACAAAGTATCAACAGTTTAAAATAGGGTTTCAGTTACAATACATAAAAAGTAAACAGATTCTTCAAAGGCAGTTCTTAACAGGTTACTAATAAATTAATCCAATTCTCATTTATAAAAATTGGGCCACATTTCATGAGATTACATAATGGTAGATATAATTTATTAAAAGGGTGATTTCATTCTTCAGTCCTACAGGGAGATGCAAAACAAAGTATTCCTGTACAGAGGAAAGTTTATTTAAGCAACTGGAAGCCTTTGTCTTCAGCTAGCTTTTGAAACTGTCTGGGACACCTTAAGAGGCTACAAAAGACCTCTGAAGAAGCTATAGACTAGGGATACTAGCAGTTAGTTGTCTAAGCATTTAAACAATAAATGATTGATTATTGGTTAACAGTTCCGGTTAACCTCAACAAACCCCCTCCTCCAAGTACTCTATTTAAAACTCGGACTAGCAGGCTGGCTCAGTCCCAGCCTGGTGGTCTGACTTTTCAAAGAAAAACACACAGGGGAGCCACCTGTCACCCCCATGCTGCTGCTGCCTCTGGAGCAAAGGCAGCAGCAAGGGGCAGCTCCCCTGGCTTTGGGGGGGGGAGGGTGCTTTTTTTTGCTCAGCATTTTGACATCCCCTTTTTATTAATGCAGAATTTTGTTTAAAAATTAATTACAATATAATTAAAATAATTATCCAGCTAAATTAAGTTTCTATCAAATGTATCCAGTTCATATTTAATATAAAGATAGCCTTCAATTTGCGCATTTGACACCTTTTTTCTATTTTTTCTCCAAGGGGGGGGGGGAGGGCAAATAATTTAAATAATACCTTTGACATGTAAAATTACCTTTTTTTAATCTTATGGATTCATATATTATGTAATATTAAATATGATGTTTTTCATATTATTTAATGCACAAATACAAAATAAGCCTTGAAAAATTGTTGGCATCTGCCACTCTTCTGAAAATATGCATGTGCTATTGGGCACAAAAAGGTTGGGGATCGCTATAACAGAGATCGCTATAACTTTCATTACAAAGTATCAACAGTTTAAAATAGGGTTTCAGTTACAATACATAAAAAGTAAACAGATTCTTCAAAGGCAGTTCTTAACAGGTTACTAATAAATTAATCCAATTCTCATTTATAAAAATTGGGCCACATTTCATGAGATTACATAATGGTAGATATAATTTATTAAAAGGGTGATTTCATTCTTCAGTCCTACAGGGAGATGCAAAACAAAGTATTCCTGTACAGAGGAAAGTTTATTTAAGCAACTGGAAGCCTTTGTCTTCAGCTAGCTTTTGAAACTGTCTGGGACACCTTAAGAGGCTACAAAAGACCTCTGAAGAAGCTATAGACTAGGGATACTAGCAGTTAGTTGTCTAAGCATTTAAACAATAAATGATTGATTATTGGTTAACAGTTCCGGTTAACCTCAACAAACCCCCTCCTCCAAGTACTCTATTTAAAACTCGGACTAGCAGGCTGGCTCAGTCCCAGCCTGGTGGTCTGACTTTTCAAAGAAAAACACACAGGGGAGCCACCTGTCACCCCCATGCTGCTGCTGCCTCTGGAGCAAAGGCAGCAGCAAGGGGCAGCTCCCATGGCATGCCAAGCCATCCGTTCATGGGAGCCAGTTCTTAAACTGGCTGTCCTCATGGACCAGCTTTTGCTTGCCACCCCACGCTGCTACCTCAGGTACAGGGGAATGCACTGGCTGCTGACCATGCTCCCAGGGGTATCTAGCCATGTAACTTAAGAAATTTAGTGGTTACACAATTATTAAAATAACCACTTTTTAACATCCCTACTGTAGACCCAAGTTACAGTAAAAGATCAATTCTGATTTGAAGCTTACGTAGAGTAAGATGGACTTACTTGGTGTTATAGTCCTGTTTGGGGATTGGTTTCCTCGATGCTCAGCCTTCAGAACTGAGTCCTCCTAGAGCTGAATTAGTTCACTGTCAGTGCTGCTCTGCAAAGCACGGACAGCCCAATTTTGTGCCTTGTCTGGGGAACACCAGAGGATCTGGCCCCAGAGAGTAGAAAGGCTATGATCAGAATACAACCCCAAAGGGACTTCTGTAATTTCAACCCATCACAATGCCAGACATTTTTCCTGGCCTTACCCATGCTCAGTAATTACCTCAAATGTTCTTTTTTGCAGAAGAGTTAATAGGCATCACCAGAAGAATGAACAAGACTTATGTCCCTGATTCACAGATTACAAGGCCACAGTCATCATCTAGTCTGAAGATGGTCAATAAACCCTCCCTAAAATAATAGTTCTTAGAACATATTTTAAAAAAAATCCAAACTTGACTTTGCACCATAAAACTCAGAATGGGATCAAGACTTCAGAAAACAACAAAAGCTGATATGGGATAAGTGGTAAAATTTCATTCTTTGTTCAGAGCGAGACTGCTGTAACAAAATGAAAAATATTTACCAGCTAAACAGTCTGAGCATCTTTCTGGATCTGCTCGAACATTTCACCAATTTTACACGATTACACAGATTTGAGAGAGTTTACTGGTTTGAATCTGGTTCCTGGAGGCTTTTCCTAAATCATGTTGCTCTCTTGGGTTTACAACCTCTTTATTTCTGGATTTTACTACACATGTTGCCTTGAAGTGGTGGAGTGGATTGTACTGTGAGCTTATGGATCGTGGGCAACGGAACCGCTCACGAATTATGTGGCCGAGTCTTGTTGTTGCAACAAATCCATCTGCAGTTGGCACAATTTTGTTAACAGTTGCATATGCATATTGAACAGCCAACAGGCTACCTGCAAAAGACCCCCAGAAAGTAAAAGGAAGAAACCAAGGTCAGAACAGAGAAAAGGAGTTGTAGCTTAGCCACTTGCCCTGAAGCATAGGAAAGGACTTGTAATTTTCCATAAATGGGAGCTATTGAGAAGGACAATTTGGACTCAAGAAAAATAAGTCACTGATGTTAATGCTAATTAGGGACTTAAAAATCTCAGTTAATCAGTGAACCGATTAAGCAGGATCTGGGTGGGAGATTGCTCCAGCCTGTCTGGAGCAGCGTCCAATTCACAGCAGCCCCTGTCCATGGCAGGCTGGGCTCTCCATGGGCACAGGTGGGGCACCAGGGCTCCCTGTGGACAAAAGGTGCTCTGCATGCACCTGTTACTAGTTAACCAGAATTGGTAAGCATTACCTGTTAAGAGTGAACCTTTCACATCCCTAATGTTAATAATTTTATATCAGTAATGTAATTTGCTCCATGTTTACTGATGATTTGGGTGAAGGAAGTCACACTTTGCCTTACAACTTGCAACTGTTCAGGACCAAATGCATTTTCTCTGAGTACAAGAGGAATAGTTATACATTTCAAGTCTGTAAGGAGATTAAAAATCTCTCTCAAAAGGGCTATTTGGTTCCTGCCCAGACAGTATTTTCTTATTATTGTGATATAAACTGATAGAAAATGTAGGTTCCGAAAAGCAAGAAATCTGCTACCAAAGTTGGAAAACACATAGTTTTGCAACCCTTTTCCTGCAATCTCCCTGCTCACATTAGCATTCTTTGGGAAAGAATGAGAAGAAATCACAACTCATACAGCCATGTAGGGCAGGAAGATCAAAATGATTATGCAAATTTGCTAAACTGAGTGTGATCACATAATATAGTGTCTAAAAAACAGTGCTGCAATTACCTTTATACATCTGAGACAGAAACTATAGCCAATGATGACTGGTCAATGTAATAATATTACTCCCAAAAGAACCACTGCCTGACCTCTGAGATGGTACATCCTATTGTGAAGTCACTAAAGGAGAAGGTATCTGTTCAGGCTATTGTGGGGGACAGATATTGGGGGGGAGGGAGTGTTTCTTCATACGTACTTGTAACCCTATCTGTGCCTGTCAATTAACTCTCTTTAACCAGGAGTTGTACACCAAGTTTTCTGTATAAACATACAATCAAGGAAGTCTGACCCAAACTGCTATGTAAAAGTTTTTTTAAAAAACCCATACAGGTACAGGTCTATGTGAAGACTTAGTTTCCCTTTGAACTACATCAAGGACATTGGTCCTCTGTTTAATAAAGGCAATAAAGAGTATAAAAGATATACATGGGCAATAAGGAGTACAGCCTCCTTTATATTTGCTATAAATCCAGAATTACTCACCACTTAAAACATCCCAAACTGTAATGGAGTGATCGAATGACGCAGTGTACAAGTACTTATCATCTTTCGAGAAGCAAGCACACTGAATACCTTTCAAGAAGGAAGTCTGCTAAAAATGAATACAGATTTCAGTTAGTCCATAAAAATCTTGTTAAATGCAGGTTGAGACTAAGAAGTCCTATGCAATTTAGTGGCTACTCAGCAGATTTTTAATTGGATAAATATCTAATTAAACCAGGATTTCCCTCATAAAAGTCCTTTGCATGTAAAGCAATCTACAACTGTGCAGAACAGAGAAGAGGCCCATTGTGAACTTTCAAGACCCAACTACATCTACAAGTGACAGACATTGGATGCAGACTGACTCAAGGATACATCATCAAGTGAAATCTGAGGTCTGTCAGGCACAGGTAAAATGCTAAAAATATTAACTCAGACTCTTCCTTCACTTTTTTTGTTTTGTATTGTTTTTACTGCTCTTGGCCTATTCACTCTGTGCTGTTTTTGCTAATTCACTGAGTAAAATCCTGCTCTCTTTATATGCAAGTCCTCGAGCTGATGCCAAGAAAGTGAGAGGTTCTGGGCCAGAGAGATGTTAAGTGCATTAGCCCATGTTGACTGTGCACTGATAGTGTCTCTAAAGAGGGCATTAAAATCCTAGATATGTCAGATAGAGGCAGCAAAGGGGGAGAAGAGAGGGGACTTCAAAGTGCAGCACCACACAGCTGAGCCCAGCCGAAGCGAGGTTCAAAGGAGCAGTGCTCACAGCAGATCCCAGGATCAGCTGTGAGGCACTGCCCCTTTGAAATGTTGAATTTCTGGGGAAATGCCATGCAGAACCTGACCCAGGCTCCACATGGCATTTCAAATGAGCAGCGCAACATGGAGCCCAGGGTCAGCGGGGGAATCCGAGTCCCATGCTGACCTGGGGCTCCAGGAGTGTGCTTCCGCTTTGAAATGCACAAGAGCCCCTGCTGGGGATTCTTGTACTTTTCAAAGTTGGCATGCCTGCAGCCTGCATGCCGCCCAGAGTCAGCAAGACTTCCCGCTGGCTTCAAGCTGTGTGCAGTGTTCTGCATTTCTCCTTTGAAATGTACAAGAGCCCCACTGGGGACTTGTGTGGACTAGTTGATGGAAATTCCATCAACAGCTTGACTAGTAAATTAACTGCAATTTAACATCCTTCATCTCTAACTGCATCCACCGGAGCAGTACCTTATAATAGCACATTTCATGTTGCCACTGGCAAAGCGCCAAGTCCCAGAGACACTGCAGAGAATCCTCAGAGCCACTTAGTGCCCATTGTTCTCCATAGCTGGTTTCTAAACAGGTGACTTTGCATCTGTGCACTTCCAAAGGAAATATTTTGGAATGAAGGCAATCATAAAGGAACAAGTCTCCACTTGACATGCCATAGAGGACACGGTAGTTTGCAAGGACAGCCACGCTGGAGATCACAGCAGCAGGCATCTGAGTATAAAAGGTGTAAATGGGCTTGTCAATCACAGGACATGGCTTTCCAGGGCTAACATCCAGCACAAGAACTAAGTCATCATATGCTATGGCCAGCTGTTCTTCCTGCCTGTTGAGTGCCATGTGATTGACTTGTTTCTGTGACTCTGGGGGTGGGATGCACACCACATCCTGCCTGGAATTGAGTGGAAACACAAGGACTGTTCCAGACACCAGCCCAGTGAAAAGGAGCTCCTTCTGCTCAGCCACCTCTAGGCAGCTCACTTGGGAAGAGGTGTCCAGTGTGTCACACTCTGCACCTGCAACAGAGAAGAGATGTCTGTGAGGGTCTCCCCATGCCAGCTCTAATCCTTTAGGTTTTTCCCTTAAGTCATCATTAGAAGATTTACCTGGCATTGCTTGGGTCCTTAACTTAAGTTTTTCCAGTTACATAGCTACCCCTCTGAGTCCATTACTTTTTTTCTTCATTTAAATCATTGCTCTGGGCTGGGGATGAGAGTTAAGTATGAGAAGAGATGTCTGTGAGGGTCTCCCCATGCCAGCTCTAATCCTTTAGGTTTTTCCCTTAAGTCATCATTAGAAGATTTACCTGGCATTGCTTGGGTCCTTAACTTAAGTTTTTCCAGTTACATAGCTACCCCTCTGAGTCCATTACTTTTTTTCTTCATTTAAATCATTGCTCTGGGCTGGGGATGAGAGTTAAGTATGCCGGTCTGGTCTTTCATTGCAGCAGCTTGAGGCTAGGTGAGAAGTCCCTCTTCATGGCTGCAATAGCTCCAGCAGGCACAGTCGGGAGGGGTGTATTCCTTGGGGCCGGAGCAAGTCTAGGTTCGGTTCATCTGCTCCCTACTCTCCCCAGCCAGAGTGAAGAATGCAGAAAACTCTGCACTTTCCCTGTGCTCCCTGATAAAGGCCAACAGCCAGCAATGTTCCTGTACAAATCAGGGGGTGGGCGGCTCGAGTCTGGGGCAGTCCCAGACGGAAGGGGGAGGGGAACAGGCACTCTCCCAGCCAACCCAACTGGTAATTCTATCTCTTTTGTTTGGTTTTATGAGAAGCAATTCTATTCTAGTCATATTCCATTGTCTTGGCACAACCAAACCCTTACAACTTCTTCTGATAATAACTTAAAGCAATGTATCCCAAATTTGGGTAGTCCTCACTTTTACCATTGAACGGACGAACGGACAGACAAGCTCTCTCAAAGGCTACGTCTGCACTACGAGTTTTCTTCAATCTCCCACCCTCCTTAAAGGGTGCCTGGGACATGGGAGGCTCTGGCCTGGGGCAGCCCTGGACAGAGGGACATGTACTCCCAGAGAGCTCCTTTTGTCTGTTGAATCTTTCTCTTGTGTATGGTTTTCTGAGGAACAATCCCATTCTGGGCACATCCCATTTTCCTGGGACAACCAACCCCCTTACCTTGCTTTAAGATATGATAAGAGGAAGCTGTATACTGTTTTTGGTTCTTTCTATTTAGGAAGAGTTCTTGAACAAACAGACTCTCTAAAATATATAGTAGATAATGATGTAGAGAAAAATAATGTCAAATAAGAGATTAAAAGAATTTCTAAACTTGCAGTCCCTCTATGCTCAATCCATCTCTTCAGACAGAGTGAGGGAATAGAGTCCTGGCAGCATGTCTAGAAGACTAACAAAGCCTGTCTCTGTTAGATTAATTATTCATTTTTTAAATCATTTTGATTCCCATGTTATGCCAAGTTTTAATTCTTCACAGTGTTTTATAGATTGTAGTTCACCTTCAGTGGAGTCCCAGATGATGATTTTATGTCGCTCTCCAGCTTGAGGGAAGTAGATATAGTTCCCACCATGGGACACTGCAATGTACCCTGTGCGATCTGGGACTCGTGCTAAGGTTTTGCGTTTATGATCATAAGTGAGGTCCCAGACTTTGAGATATGGTGCCATGTGGGAGGCAGATACCAATGTGTCGCCACACAGGGCTAAGAGAGTCACCGGTGTTCCCATGCCATCCAGAATGTCTGTCAGCAAACCCTGCTCTGATAAACTCCACACCTAGAATGAATTAGAAAAAAAAACATAGTGGCATTCAATCAAAATAGTAAGAAAACATAAAACCATTAAATAATCTACCTTTTCCTCTTTCCCATACCCTACTACGAGACGAGGTAGAACAATCAAAGTTAAACAATACAAGACACGTTATCATAGAAACAAAGAGGAGAAATCACATGTGTCATACAGAGTGAAAACAGATCAAAATGTTCCGAAAGTGACAATGGCTTAGACTGTTTAGTTAATAAATGGACAGATCTTCTCTTAAATAAACTTTTTAAAAAGACCTTGAGGCATTCTACCCATCTGATCGCTCTGCTCTGATGACACCACGTTAGATCCTGCTGACCTCAATTGGGCAGCATAGGGCCTTAGCCTCTTGGAAAGGCATGTTGTCTGAGGTAGAAATATAAAAAACACCTAAAAATCCTAGTGGTTAACAGTTACATGGTCTGTAGGCTCTGCAGTATAAAGCTTATATGTAAGCTTTATACTGTAGAGCTCACTGTCCAGCTGGCTCCTTGGAATGGAGCCAGCAGCTGGGAGCTGATGCGCATCAGAAGCTGTCTTATAAGCTGGCTTCCAGCGTACACCAGCTCCTGGCTGCTGGCCCCTCTTCCAGGAATCTGGATGAACTGCAGGCTCTGCAATACTTTATAACTTTATATACTGTTGGCTCTCTGGGAGTAGGGGGTAAGGTGCCCACAGGGAATATTCTGTACCTCAAACTAGGGATATAAAAGCGTAAATATGTAATCAGCTTATCAGTTTCTGTTACAGTTACACGCTGGCACCCCAGGAGCAGGGCCAGCAGGAGCTGCCAGCTCACAGGGGGAGGAGAGTGTGGTTTTCTGGGGGTCTTGGAATTTTTGAGTAGTATCCATTAATACTCTCTGGCCTTTCGGTCTCTGGATTTTATACTTGCTGTTCAGTGGCAGAAAAAGAATTAACAGGAGAGCAGAAAAAAAGCAACTAGAACCAGGAAAGGGAAAAGACCAAAGACATTCTGATGGTACAATAGCAGAAATGCCACAGATGCATCCACAAGGCAAGTGGTTAAGGAATCTGCTCAGCACCTTACTAGATCTGGTGCTGCATCTGCAGGAGGCATTTCTGCCTGAAAATCTTCCTCTCTTACCAGGATAGATTCACCCTGAGATCCTGTGACAATGATGTTGTTGTCAGGAGAGAAAACAGCTGTGTGCACCACACCTTCGTGTTCCAGGTCTGCTGTTATGAACCTGTGGAATCCCTTTGAATTGGTCAGGAACACTCGCACATACACCCCAAAGCCTAAAACAATGGAATGTTAGTTTCTGATTTATTGATCTGGAGTGGAGACATTGCAAGCACTCAGGATAATATAGTGCAGACAAGGTCAGACCCTCCCAAAAAACATTCAGAGGCTCTAAAATGTTGCATACACCCATCCATGTTTATTATCTGCTGGTCCCAGCATGCTATTAAAGTTGTACATTGAGAAATGCTCTGAAATTCTCCCTGGGCAGAGACCAGCACAAGTCCTACGCACTACATAAGTCCCACTTACTTTTTCATCATAGGACTTATATAGTGTATAAACAATGTGTGGGCTCTCCTCACAGGCTGGATTTCGCCCCTTTGCTTTCTAGACTTTTGACCATACTAGATTAATAAGAACATATTACACATGGGGAAGGACCCACATCTTGGCCCCTGTTTAAGGGATACTTGGTGTATGACACTTAAAGCGAGTACTGCCATCCTCTTTTCTAATTCTACTAAAATCTTTCCTAGGTAATTGGGCTAGAATTAACCTGCAGCAAGAAGGGACTCATCTTCTGACACCACCAGAAAGCGAACCCTTCCAGGTAGTTTCTCCATTAAGGTGTTTCCATTAGAGAAGATCTGCATAAAGAGAAGGTAAAGTCAGACACAGCACCATGGTTGCTAAATTACCCCTCTCAGATTAGAGGGAAGATGATAGGAGGGTAGAAACTAAGGTGATTAGAGCTTAGTTTGGCCTCCTAATGCTGTGCAGTTCTCCATGTGTACTGATGTACACTGAATGAGGTCTGCAGGTATAGTGAACATACTTTCTTCAGCATGAAGAGAGAAAAGTCCTTTGGAGAACCAGCTTATTACATAAGAATATAAGAATGGCCATACTGGGTCAGACCAAAGGTCCATCCAGCCCAGTATCCTGTCTGCCGACAGTGGCCAATGCTAGGGTGAGGGAGTGTAATGATCATGCAATCTCTCTCTCTCCTGTCATCCATCTCCACCCTCTGACAAACAGAGGCTGGGGACACCATTCCTTACCCATCCTGGCTAATAGCCATGAATGGAGTTAACCTCCATGAACTTATCTAGTTCTCTTTTAAACCCTCTTTTAAACTAGATCAGAACAAGTTTGGATCGTGCCTGGATCTGTATTTTGGCTCATTTCACTCAACTTTAGTGGATGCTTTCCCAGGGAGACCTTGGTGCAAAGTCTCTCTCTTCCCCAGCATATCTTTACTGCTAATAATATTCTACCCTTGTCTACCATCATCTATCCAAGGAATTCAAAGTGCTTTATGAACAGATAACATACCAGTAAAGTATATTATCTTCATATTACACAGGGACAAATTGAGGCACAGAAAAGGGAAATTATTTTTTCAGTCATGTAGCAAGTTTTTCAGAGTCAGGAACAGAATCCAGTTTTATAGCACTTTGCTGCTGCTGAACGAGCAAGCAAAGAAAAGACACCATGCTATACTAGAGTATGTCCAGTTGTCTGTCTTAGAAACTCATAAAGATTATGGAAGTGTGAAAACATATCAGGGAGTGTATATAATGACAAAGACCAATTAAAGGTGCAAGCACCAGCACAGAGTGAATTGAAAGAGAAGAGAGAATCCAGAATCCCCACAGAACCAGCACTTCCTGGATTTGAATCTCTGAAATGTTATAGCTAGCTAAGCAGAGAGACACACCATGGAGAGGGAACCCCTGCTAAATCCTGCTATCATCTTTCCTTGCTTCTGGATCAGAACGCTGCAAGTTGGTGCTTCTTCCTGTAGCTCTGACAGCTGGCACTTATACTGGAGCTCTCCAGTGCTGCTGTCCCACAGACTCAGCATTCCTCCTTCAGACACAGTCATAACCACTCGCCTTGGTTCAAACACTGCAGTGCACAGCCACGCAGCTGGGGCCTCCCCAGAGATCTGGAATATATGTTCTGCTGTTTCCAGGTGCCAGGCATTAACCTAGTGAAAAGGAGGATTGGCAGGTGACTGCTGAATATTTTCACATGTATTGATTCTGAAATTTAGATGCTGGCAGTTTCCCAAATTTCATACTCCAGGAACCTCAAAATATTTTACAGAACCAACAGGATTCCTTGAAAGAACTTCCACAGGGTTCTTCCTATCACAATTTTGGAGTACCTGCACCTCCATTCCCCCTCTGTGAATCATAGAGCTGGAAGAGACCTCAGGAAGTCATCAAGTCCAGCCCCCTGCCCAAGGCAGGACCAATCCCAACTAAATCAACCCGGCCAGGGCTTTGTCAAGCTGAGACTTAAAGACCTCTATGGGCACAGCCTGGTCTCCTGGTATCATCCATCTCTGTGTACAGATCCTTGACCCACTCCCTTTGAACTAGTTTTTTTAAAGGATGTATAACTCCCTGCCTCACACTTTGATATCCCTAGCAAGCTAGTCTACCTAAAGACCAGTACTTGTGCTTTGCTTTCTCTCTGAGGGCTAGGAACAACACATTGCCAGCAGTTACATGTTGTCTCTCAGCTCTTTCTAAGCAAGCGCATTTATTCTTAAGGTGAAAACAAAAACAATCAAAGTTCTTATATGCATACTAAAAGCTTACCAGCAATTGTCCATCAGATTTATGGGGCCCTGGTAGATCAAAGTCTTTCCAATCCTTCTGCAAGAGTTACCCCCACCCCTTCAGACCTTTCAATTGACTGGATCAGATAGAAGGCCCAGAGTTAGTTTCAGCTCAGCCTTTTTATATCAAAAGCTCTTTCTTTCTCTGTTGATTTCTACAAAACACATTTTGAATCAGTACCAGAATTCTTCTGTCAGCCTAGCTGCAGTTACACTGGGGATTAGTTCAACTCTAACATGACACTCAGAACATGACATTTTTCATATCCCTGAGTGACATGACTAGGTTTAGCTAATTGTAAAATGTATATCAGGCATTGCAATTTATCCAAGCTTCAAAACAACTGTTCTTTTCAGTTCCTTGAATGGTTGGTGAAGATGGAATTCACTGTGCTAGCGAGTGAATAGGGAAGGCATGGGAGCGCTATAGTTTAAAACTTTGAAAAGTATACTGGACAAAACACTAGAAAATGTCCCTCTGAAATATTCTGCACTAGCCCCAGGAGTTTGGACTGGACAGCTTTTCCATCCAGTGGCGTGGGAACAATTGCTATAGTAGGGATGCTGAAAGCCATTGAACAGAGGTGTAAACCCTGAATATGATGGAAACCACTTCAAGCCAGGGGTGTTGCCAATAGTTCTAGCACATCTTTCCATCCTATGCTCCATGACTCCCTGATTGTAACTTCTTGTTGTTTCTGCCCAGACTCTGGTCTTCTCTGTGCACCTTGCATTATGGGATGGCTATTGGTTCCATACCTTTGCACCTAATGCTGAATAAACAATCCTATTCCTTTCATCCACGTGAAGCTGATAGAGATGCTGTTCTCCAGAGTGACTGTCCTGAATGGAAAACTTCTGTCTGCCAGAGACTAAATTCCAGATGCGTAGAGTGTAATCCATGGCAGCTGAGACAGCACACGTCCCTTTTCCAAACACTTTCACACACCTCACCTCAGCTATAACGCAGCAGAGAGAAGCATTAGCAAAATAGGCAACGCTCTGTTTTCAAAAACTGGAAGAGTGCCCAAATTACCATAAATTGTGAAAAGCCTGCTATGCTTATATCTAGAGCCCTACCAAATTCACGGTCCATTTGGGTCAATTTCACTGTTTAAGGATTTTAAAATGGTAAATGTCATGACTTTAGATATTAAAATCTGAAATTTCACAGTGTTGTAATTATAGGGGTCCTATCCCAAAAAGGAGTTATGTGGGAATTGGAAGGTTATTGTAGGGGGGTTGTGATATTGCTACTCTTACATCTCTGCAGTTGCTGGAGGCAGCACTGCCTTCAGAGTAGCTGAAGAATGGTAGCTGCTGGCCAGGAAGGCAGAACTACCACCAGCAGTAGCAGAGAAAGAAAGATGGCTTGGTACGATATTGGCACCCTTACGTTTGCGCTGCTGCCTGCAGAGCAGGATTGTTAGTCAGCAGCTGCCACTATCCAGCCACCCAGCTCTGAAAGCAGCTGTACAGAAGTAAGAATGACCTGGTATGGTATTGCCACTCTTACCTCTTGCTGCTGCTGGTGGGTGCTACCTTCAGAGCTGGTTACTTGGCCAACATTATAACCACCACTCTCCAGTTGCCCAGTTCTAAAGGCATCACAGAAATAAGGGTGGCAATACTGTGACCTTCCTAAAATAATCTCATGTTCCCTCTGCCACTCCTTTTCAGGTCAAGACCCCCAAATTGAGAAACACTGGTCTCCCCCATGAAATCTGTACAGTATAGAGTAGAAGCACATGACTGGGAGGACACCAGATTTCACAGTCTGTGACATGTTTTGCATGGGTGTGAATGTAACCACCACCAAGCATATTTGAACTTGGGACCTCTGGCACTTACTATAAGAGCCTCTACCCTCTGAGCTAAAAGCCAGGTAACTCTCAACCCTTGCTGTAGAGGTCTTTTGATCTTAGCTGTTGCTGTGGTTTAGGTGCCACTACATTGGTCAGTGACCCACACTAGGTGTGTGGGTTACAGAAATTTGGTAGAGTTCTACTTATATTCAGGAATGAGTGGACACAGTCAGTGCCCTTGTAATGCTATGACAAAAATTCCTCAATGAGTGTCAACAGGGAGTTAATTGCATTCTACAGCAACATTAGAAGGGGCAGTTTTAATTCATTAAATGTCTCTCAGTTTCCACATTCAAAAATCACTTTAATTATGAGCAATCACTTGATCTGTTTATGGGATGTTGCAATGAACAGGACAATTTATCCCTAAAGTATGTTTGGTGCAGCTTCAGTTTTAAGGTCTGTGGGTTGCCACCACACAGGAAAGCTCTCTGTTCAGTATAATCAGATGTCAGGAACCATTCCCCCTTTAAAAGGCTCACCAGAGTGCCCAGTCAAGGTGTGCATAACCTCAATATCCTCCATGATCCACACAACCATTGTGCCATCCTGGGATCCTGCCACCAACAACCTGCGATCAGAACTGAGCTCCAACACTGTGACACCTGTAATTAGACATGCATGGAAGGAGAGTCTGCAGACACGCAGGAAGAAAGGTTACAATTAGGTTACGTCTACACTAGCCCCCTAGATCGATCTAGGGAGGCTATTGAGGGAGACCGAAATTGCAAATCAAGCCCGGGATTTAAATATCCCGTGCTTGATTTGCATGTTCCTAGCCAGTTGCCATTTTAGAAATTGACTAGCCTGAAGTAACTGCCTGCGTCTACACGTGTTAGTGAAACAGGATTCCGATTTAAAGCCCTAACTCTAATTAGCTGGTATTCCTCCTGCAATGAGGTTTACCAGCTAATTCGATTTAGGGGCTTTAAATTGGAATCCCGTTTCACTGCCACGTGTAGACGCAGGCAGTTACTTTGGGCTAGTCAGTTTCTAAAATGGCAACCGGACGAGAACATGCAAATCAAGCGTGGGATATTTAAATCCCGGGCTTGATTTGCAATTTGTCACCCTCATTAGCCTCCCTAGATCGATCTAGGGGGCTAGTGTCGATGTACACTTAGGCTACGTCTAGACCGGCATGATTTTCCGCAAATGCTTTTAACGGAAAAGTTTTTCCATTAAAAGCATTTGCGGAAAAGAACGTCTAGATTGGCACGGACGCTTTTCCGCACAAAGCGTCTGTGCCAATCTAGACACAGTTTTGCGCAAGAAAGCCCCAATCGCCATTTTCGCCATCGGGGCTTTTTTGCGCAAAACAGTTTTTAGCTGTCTACACTGGCCCTCTTGCGCAAAAACATTTCCGGAAAAGGGCTTTTGCCCAAACAGGAACTTCAAAGCATTTGCGCAAGAAGCACTGATTTCAGACAGTAGAACGTCAGTGCTTTTGCGCAAAATCAAGCGGCCAGTGTAGACAGCTCGCAAGTTTTTGTGGAAAAACTTGCCAGTCTAGATGCAGCCTCCGAGAACTGCTGCTGTGGTATCCTTTTCCACCTGTGATAACAGCAAGTCTCTTTTGATACAGTCTCCCACAGTATTCTTGCCAGCAAGTTAAAGAAGTATGGATTGGATAAATGTACTGTAAGATAGAAAGAAAGCTGGCTAGATCAGCAGGGTCAGTGGGTAGTGATCAACAACTCAATGTCTTTTTGGTGGTCAGTATCAAGTGGACCCCCAAAACAGTCAGTTCTAGGACCGGTTTTGTTTAGCTTCTTTATTAATGACCTGGATGAGGGGATGGATTGCACCCTCAGCAAGTTTGCAGATGACACTAAGCGAGGGGGAGAGGTAGATACGCTCGAGGGCAGACATAGGGTCCAGAGTGACATAGACAAATTGGAGGATTGGGCCACAAGAAATCTGATGAGGTTCAACAAGGACAAGTACAGAGTCCTGTACTTGGGACAGAAGAATCCCAAGCATTGGTACAGGCTGGGGACCAACCAGCTGAGTAGTAGTTCTGCAGAAAAGGACCTGGGGGTTACAGTGGATGAGAAGCTGGATATAAGTCAACAGTGCGCCCTTGTAGCCAAGAAGACTAGTGGCATATTAGGTTGCATTAGGAGGAGCACTGCCAGCAGATCCAGAGATGTGATTATTCCCCTTTATTTGGCTCTTGTGAGGCCACATCTGGAGTAGTGTGTCCAGTTCTGGGCCCCCCCACTACAAAAAGGATGTGGACACATTGGAGAGTGTCCAGCAGAGGGCAACAAAAATTATTAGGGGCTGGAGCATGTGACCTACGAGGAGAGGCTGAGGGAGTTGGGTCTGTTTAGTTTGCAGAAGCAAAGAGTGAGGGGGGATTTGATAGCAGCCTTCAACTTCCTGAAGGGAGGTTCCAAAGAGGATGGAGAGAGGCTGTTCTCAGTAGTGACAGATGGCAGAACAAGGAGCAATGGTCTCAAGTTGTGGTGGGAGAGGTCCAGATTGGATATTAGGAAAAACTATTTCAAAATCCCTTTTGGATCTAGCCCTCTGTGTCCCATAGCTGAAATAATCCTTGACTCAAAGGTATAGATGGGGCAGTTTATGAGCAAGAAAAAGGAGGGGGAAGGAATGCACCTGGAATGGGCATTGGGGTTAATTCCTTTCATTTAAATTCCTCCTGCTGCTAGCTCCTCAGGCAGAGTTGCTACTTGAGGAGGCAATTAGGAGGCAAGAAGGAAAGAGAGACATGGACCTTCAAAAGCACCAGAAAAAAGAAAGGGTAGGAACACTACTTCTGTGATCTAGGTGGGAAAGCTTGCATTGGTCTAGTTCACCCAGTTGCAAAGCTCTAGCTTCCTCTGTCAAGTGATCAGAGTGTTGGCAGACATTTCCCACTCAAAATTCAGCTTCATATTTTTTGCTAATATTGCAATGAGAACCAGAAATCTTTCTGTAAATCAGAGACACCTGCCACCTGTATTCTAAGTAACTTACAGAAGGGTATGTCTATACTAGCCCCCTAGTTCAATCTAGGGAGGCTAATGAGGGCGACCGAAATTGCAAATGAAGCATGGGATTTAAATATCCCGCACTTCATTAGCATGTTCCCGGTCGGTTGCCATTTTAGAAATTGCCTAGCCTGAAGTAACTGCCTGCGTCTACACGTGTTAGTGAAACAGGATTCCGATTTAAAGCCCTAACTCTAATTAGCTGGTATTCCTCCTGCAATGAGGTTTACCAGCTAATTCGATTTAGGGGCTTTAAATTGGAATCCCGTTTCACTGCCACGTGTAGACGCAGGCAGTTACTTTGGGCTAGTCAGTTTCTAAAATGGCAACCGGACGAGAACATGCAAATCAAGCGTGGGATATTTAAATCCCGGGCTTGATTTGCAATTTGTCACCCTCATTAGCCTCCCTAGATCGATCTAGGGGGCTAGTGTCGATGTACACTTAGGCTACGTCTAGACCGGCATGATTTTCCGCAAATGCTTTTAACGGAAAAGTTTTTCCATTAAAAGCATTTGCGGAAAAGAACGTCTAGATTGGCACGGACGCTTTTCCGCACAAAGCGTCTGTGCCAATCTAGACACAGTTTTGCGCAAGAAAGCCCCAATCGCCATTTTCGCCATCGGGGCTTTTTTGCGCAAAACAGTTTTTAGCTGTCTACACTGGCCCTCTTGCGCAAAAACATTTCCGGAAAAGGGCTTTTGCCCAAACAGGAACTTCAAAGCATTTGCGCAAGAAGCACTGATTTCAGACAGTAGAACGTCAGTGCTTTTGCGCAAAATCAAGCGGCCAGTGTAGACAGCTCGCAAGTTTTTGTGGAAAAACTTGCCAGTCTAGATGCAGCCTCCGAGAACTGCTGCTGTGGTATCCTTTTCCACCTGTGATAACAGCAAGTCTCTTTTGATACAGTCTCCCACAGTATTCTTGCCAGCAAGTTAAAGAAGTATGGATTGGATAAATGTACTGTAAGATAGAAAGAAAGCTGGCTAGATCAGCAGGGTCAGTGGGTAGTGATCAACAACTCAATGTCTTTTTGGTGGTCAGTATCAAGTGGACCCCCAAAACAGTCAGTTCTAGGACCGGTTTTGTTTAGCTTCTTTATTAATGACCTGGATGAGGGGATGGATTGCACCCTCAGCAAGTTTGCAGATGACACTAAGCGAGGGGGAGAGGTAGATACGCTCGAGGGCAGACATAGGGTCCAGAGTGACATAGACAAATTGGAGGATTGGGCCACAAGAAATCTGATGAGGTTCAACAAGGACAAGTACAGAGTCCTGTACTTGGGACAGAAGAATCCCAAGCATTGGTACAGGCTGGGGACCAACCAGCTGAGTAGTAGTTCTGCAGAAAAGGACCTGGGGGTTACAGTGGATGAGAAGCTGGATATAAGTCAACAGTGCGCCCTTGTAGCCAAGAAGACTAGTGGCATATTAGGTTGCATTAGGAGGAGCACTGCCAGCAGATCCAGAGATGTGATTATTCCCCTTTATTTGGCTCTTGTGAGGCCACATCTGGAGTAGTGTGTCCAGTTCTGGGCCCCCCCACTACAAAAAGGATGTGGACACATTGGAGAGTGTCCAGCAGAGGGCAACAAAAATTATTAGGGGCTGGAGCATGTGACCTACGAGGAGAGGCTGAGGGAGTTGGGTCTGTTTAGTTTGCAGAAGCAAAGAGTGAGGGGGGATTTGATAGCAGCCTTCAACTTCCTGAAGGGAGGTTCCAAAGAGGATGGAGAGAGGCTGTTCTCAGTAGTGACAGATGGCAGAACAAGGAGCAATGGTCTCAAGTTGTGGTGGGAGAGGTCCAGGTTGGATATTAGGAAAAACTATTTCACTAGGAGGGTGGTGAAGCACTGGAATGGGTTACCTAGGGAAGTAGTGGAGTCTCCATCCCTAGAGATTTTTAAGTTTCGACTTGACAAAGCCCTGGCTGGGTTGATTTAGTTGGGATTGGTCCTGCCTAGAGCAGGGGGCTGGACTTGATGGCCTTCTGAGGTCTCTTCCAGCTCTATGGTTCTATGATTCTCCTTAGTGAGGACATGGACATTCACCTTCTCAAAATTGAGTGCCCAGAAATTGACATGTTAGATTTAACTTTATCTGGTAGTGTAAATGTGCTCTGGGAGAGCGGACTCCCACCTCTGGTGCCATGCCAAAACTGTTGTCTTAGGATACACAGCAACACTGTTTCGAAATAACTTAGTCTGCATCTACGCAGCAGGCAGTTTTCAAAATAATGTCAAAATACTGTCAAGCTGGAGGACTTCTTACTTTACTCCAACTCCTGTAACCCTCATTGTACGAAGAGTAAGGGAAGTCGGAGGAAGAGTGCGCTATTTCGAAATAAGTGCTGTGTAAATGCTCCCAATTTCAAAATAAGCTACATATGACATAGCTCAATTTACGTAGCTTATTTCTAGTTAAGCTCTGATGTGTAGACGCACCCTTGAAGTGCTGCCTTCCAGCTGCTAGTGTAGACAAAGCCTAAAGCTTTGGAGTGATAATATCTCGCTGTATTATCTTCTGACCATTCTAAATTTACATACACATTTACATACACCAGTTCCTGCTCCCTCCCCTGCTCTCTGACGGGGCGTGGGGAAGTGACTAGTCAAGGGATTAATCGACTATCCAATAAGCTATTGGATAGTCAACTAGTCACTTACATCCCTATTAATAACTAGAAACAACTAAACTAATATCAGTAAGCCTCGCATACTGTAATGTGCTGCAAAGAAGACCTTAGTTGAATGCCCTATGTGGCGCAATATTCACCTCTGCCTATAGAAGGAGGAACAGTATCCAGGATTTACAACACTGTTAGTGCCCTTTCTGGGGAACAAGGCCATCACTGGTCCTTATACTCAGAAACAGGTCAGGGACCACACATCCAAAATCATGTGTTATCTTACAGGTTAGTTTGAATTCTAATGCCAGTCAGAGTTGCTTGCAGCACCTTCCAGGCTCCCTTTCTGAGGTCTGGTGTTAGTAATAGGCACCATTCTGCTGCCAGATGAGTCACAGAATCACAAATCTGTAAAGTAAACCCACTCTCACCACTCGACTACCTCCTGAAGCTTCTGCACATAACAAATGTCAGAGATACTGTGGGACAAAGTGTGCCTCAGACGATGGACCATCTCCTATGCTTCTGGTCTCCTTAAGGGGACAGATTTCTGTCCACTCCCTTGCCCTGAGCAAAGGCCTTACCTTTTAGAAATCCAGTGAGTGTCATCTTAAGAAGCCCACCAGGTGGCTGGAGGAATCCACACAGCGGGATAAGAACAGGATGGGGACAGGCATTGAGCCAGCTCATACACTGCTGGCACAGCTTTCCAATTAGGTCAGGATAGGGAAGCATGAAATCATACAGTCTGGCCAGCACCTCAGTGTATATAATACTCACTCCTAAGAGGGAAAGATAAAAGTAATTTTAAAAAGGCTCCGAGCATGTCTGTGAGAGGCCACTGCAGTCATTCAGGATGGAATAAAGTGCATAGACTACCAGTTTATAATAATCTCATGTGAGTTTACCCTTCTTTGGTTAGGTACTCAGATATTTCAGGGATAGATGCAGTATAAAAACTTGGACAGATTTAACTGGGTATTGGAGAATTTCCATTGCAGGGGGCGACGGGAATTGTGATTCTCTCTCTTTAATGGTAACAGGGGTTCCAAGTGGCTAGTCAATGCTGATAGTGAAGGGAGTGTGAAGGAAGGACCCTTTGGATTTGGGGCGAATTACTCTGTTCTAATAAACAAAATGCCTGTTGGTGAAAGCTATAAAAACTTTCCAAAAAAGAAAATTGCAGGTTCTTCCACAGAGATCCAGAGATGCCTATAGGAAACTGGTGCCTGTGGAGGCAGTGGGTGCACGGAAGACTATCTAGAGCAGTGGTATCCAACCTTTCTACACCCAAGATCACCTTTTTAAATGTCAGGGAAAGCCAGCATCTACCCCATCCTTCTACAAAACCCCCACCCATTTCTTGAGGCCCCACCCTCTCCATTCCCTTCTCTCCATCACTTGCTGGCCCCAGCTCTTACTCACTCTCACTGGGTTGAGATCAGAAATGTGGGCTCTGGGATGGGAATGAGGGATTTGGGTGTGGGAAGGGGTAAAAGGTGCATGCTCTGGGAGGGAATTTGAGTGCAGGAGGAGGTAGAGAAGGGGCTGCTGGCTCAAGGAGGGGGCTTCAGGAGAGTGTTGGGGTCAGGTGGAGGGTTGGGGAGTTGAGCAAGCCACAGGCTTGTGGGTGGGGGGGGGGGGGGCAGGTTGGGGTATATGAAGGGCTCAGGGCAGGGGGGCTGTGAGTATGATGAGCTCAGGACACAGATTTGCAGCATGTGGATGGTGCAGTAGTGTGGCAGAAAACTGGGGATGTGAGAGGCTTAGGACAGGGGGCTAAGGTGTATGATGGGCTCAAGGTTGAGGTGTATGGGAATACAGGGGGGTAATGATGCCAGATGGGGGCTTGGCCACAACTGGGGGCTAGTTGGCCAGGCTTTATTTTTAAATAAAATATTATTTCCAACACAAATATTTCAGAATTGTCTATTTATGGGAGAGGCGGGGAACCTGTTTTGGGTCAGGATCACTGACCCACGGGGGGGCAGGGGGGGAATCAGGGACCCCTCCAAGCCTCACTGATGTGGCCCCAACTGAGACACCTCCCTCCCCTGGCACCCAAGTCCCCCAGGGGGAGGTTAGGTAGGACTGAGGTTCAAGGCCTCAGGCCAGATTAACTCTTCTGGGGTTGCAGGGTAGTAGAATTTGTGGGCCCCTCTACACTCTGAGTTGGGGCCAAAAAATGAGGGATCCAATGTGCGGGACGAGGCTGCCGGTGAGTGGGAGAGGGATGGGATGCAGAATCTGTGTGGAAAACAAGGTCCAGGAGTAAGCTGGGGGTAGGTATCTGACCAGGAGGGAGAGGCTGGGTGCTGGTGGGTGTCTGGGCTGGGTGTTGGTGGGGGGGGGCTGGCAGGGGACAGGAGCAGGGTGCTGGTAGGGCCCTGGGTGGGGGCAGGATCAGGGTGCTGGTGGGGGCCTGGGCAGTGTATAGGTGGGAGTCTAGCCAGGGTACTTGTGGGGGTCTGGGTGAGGGAGGGGGACAGGAACAGCTCCACCAGTACCTGGGGGTCTGACAGCTGTGTGCCAGGTCCAGGAAGCACGTGCACTGTTCCCCTCCTCCCCAAACAGCCAGCGCGCTTCTTGAAAAGCTGGGTCTGTCACGTCACCGGGGACTTCTTTCCCCATGCTTCCTGCTTGCATGCATGCAGGGGGAGTAGGAGTCCCGGGATCACACCAGCTCCAGCTTCTCAGGAAGCACATAGGAAGGGCATGCTACTGTGGGGAGCAGAGGAAGAGTATGTGCTTCCTGAGAAGTTGGAGCTGGTGTGATCCCCGGACTCCTACTCCCCCCACACAGGAAGGCAGCAGGGGGAAGGAAGCCCCTGGTATTTCAGGACACACACTGGCTATTTGGGGGAGGGGAAGAGGAGCCCACATGCTTCCTGATATGCCAGCTCTGGTGTACAGCTAGGGGACTTCCCCTCCACACCACAGGAAGCTGGCACTACCTCCATTTTCACAGGAGGTAGTGCCAGTGTGGGCGCCTCCTTGCAGTGGGGGAGAATGACAGGGAGGCTGGGTCACCTCACTATTGATTGGTCATGCCTTCCCTCCACATCAACCAGTCAATCGCGATAGCTGGGCTGGTGACCGCAGACCTAGGAGGGGGCATGAGAAGGCTCCCCATCTAACAATTAAGATTTCAGCAGGCATCTGGGAGGGTGCAATTCTTGAGTGCTACCACAAGTCACCTATATTAGTTGCAATTTCCCAGGAAGAAACTTCCTCTAGGGAGCAAATGTTCTAACCCTGCCCCAGAGTGGATCTACCCATGCCTAGCTGCAGTCCAAACATGGACTAGAATTGGCACTTACCTATATCACCATCTATATAAGCAAGTGCTGGTTTCAAAAGGAGAAGGGTGTCTTGCACAAGATGCAGCTCTGGGCAGTTAATACGTTCATTGCACATAGCAAAGTCATTGACAATGCCCTGAATTCCAGTGGCAACAATTTTACAGATGATCCAGTTCATATTCCCTGCAGAAAAAAGTACTGACCATCAGAGCAAAGAATACTCTTCTCCTGGTGATGGTGGAGAGGCCACAAGACCACTCTCCTATTTCTTTCTGAGCCTAGGAAAGAGCAGGAGCATGGATTTTTATTTCTCCTCATGATTGGAGTGCAAATGATGGGGACTCTGAAATGTGTGGGAGTAACAGCTTGTGAGGAGAATGTATTTTTCTGTTTAAAAGGTTTCCCTCTCAGTTTGACTGTTGATGCAGTTGTCAGGTCCCAGTGCTTTCAGTAGAGAAATGTAACATGAATTGTGATCCTGCACCTCCCTTGCATGCAGCTGCAGGAATGAAGCATGTTCCCTGTCGCACTTTGTCCCTGGCCCTTACCGAGTACATCTTGCTTTAGCTCCTCAATTCTCCCAGCATTGAGTAAGTGAAAAGGCAGTTCACTCAGCTTCCTCCGATTTGCAGTGGTACCAGAGAACCAGAGTGGCTGAGGTGCTACCTGAGAAAGGGAAAAGCAGAAGATGATGAGGCAGTACCCAGATGAGATACACGTAGCAGATTAATTTTAAAAATGCTTCAGTGCTGTATCAAGTGTGGCAAGGGCCCTTCTTCCCCAAGCCACCACTGGGTAGGCCTCCTCCCCTTAGCCCCCCAAGTTAGGGGTTTTGCAGCAAGTCTCAACGGTAGGGAGCCCAGGCCAGGTGCCCACAGGCTCCCTCCTTAGCTGCCTTTACCTAATGCTGGTCAAAATTATTCTCTCCAGTTTCTTCCTCTCTGCCTTTCCACCACCTTCCTTTCGCCTGCTGAGGCTTTTAAAGGCCTTTAGACAGACAGCAGAGAAGTCAGCCGGCCCCAATTAGCCTGAGCCAGCTCCCTCCCAGCTGCATCTAATTGGGCTGCAATTCTCTGCTTCTCTCACAGGCTGCATCTAAACTGGCAAGTTTTTCCGCAAAAGCACTTGCTTTTGCGCAAAAACTTGCCAGCTGTCTACACCGGCTGCTTGATTTTGCACAAAAACACTGACGTTCTACTGTCCGAAATCAGTGCTTCTTGCGCAAATGCTTTGATGTTCCCGTTCAGGCAAAAGCCCTTTGTAGACAGTTAAAAACTGTTTTGCACAAAAAAGCCCCGATGGTGAAAATGGCAATCGGGGCTTTCTTGCTCAAAAGCGCGTCTAGATTTGCACGGACGCTTTTCCGCAAAAAGTGCTTTTGCGGAAAAGCGTCCATGCCAATCTAGATGCTCTTTTCCGCAAATGCTTTTAACGGAAAAATGTTTCCATTAAAAGCATTTGTGGAAAATCATGCCAGTCTAGACACAGCCACAGGGTTTTTCCCTTTTTGGGCTGCCTTTTCCCCTCTCTGCAGCAGCTCCCTGGCCTGACTTTGTCACACAAGTCATGGTGTGACTTCCATGCCACAGCCTGAGTGACATGCCACTTGCAGCAATACTGCACCAGGGGCATAGCAGAGCCATCAGGAAAGCTGATACAGGCCTATTCCCTGTTAAGTGGGGTTATCAATGATGGACAAAGGGGTGTAGATAAAACAAAAGCCACCCACCAATATTCTGTCCTAAATCTCAGTACTCACTGGTCCCACCGCCTGCCCTGCAGTGGGAGAGTGCAGGCCCTTTGTTCAAGACCGTGGGAGCAGTGTTCCCGGAAAGCTGGGCACTTGTGCAGCTGCTCAGGAGAGATTCTGATACTGCCCAGCTGATTACCAGAGCACCCACAGCTAGGATTTTTGTTTCTACTGGTGATGTACATAAATTTATTCCACATATGGATGGAAAATATTAGAGGAAACACTGAAGTACCAAGAATGCTTGCTGAGGTGTCTCACCTTCCTGTCAGCATTCAGAGATTTGCCAAGAAGTGGTAGCGTAAGAGGCTTCTTCACGCCCCAGCTCCAAGTCCCCCTGAAGAAATCTGCTAGGAGCAAGTGACGCTTGGTTTGGTCTTGGGCCAGTAGATAACGATTCTTTACCACTTCAGTGAACTGTCTGAGAGAGGAAAGAAATAGCAGAGACACTGAGATAGGGATCAAGGGAGCAGGGTTCCCATGAGCCTCAGCGCTGATGGGAATGGACAGTAGAGCTGAGACAGGGATCCTAAGCTGGAACCCCACACAGCCAGCAAGGGGACATCCCTCACGCAGGTGTTTATGTTTCCGCATCCTGTGTCCCTGCAGTACCTGTGAGCAAGGCCAAGAAGTGTAAAGCCGTCTGCCTGCCTCTCTGCCAAGCACTCTCCAATGTCACGGCGCAGTCGCGCCCACAGCAGAGGAGGAAAGCGCAGGATGGTTTTACATGGAGGAGAGCAGTGCTGGTAAATCTCAGAGAGAACTTCGTCATCCAGGGACAAGATATCCTTCAGCTCTGCATCTGATAGCCCATTCCTGATTTGGGAAATGACAGTGGGAGACATTAGCCCTCTCCTTCCCACTGTGTGCATTAGCAGAGTGAGCAGTGTATTTACACCTCTCTCAGCATATCTCCATTCTCCAGCTGGCTCCAAACAACCATCCCACCAGGAAATCCACCAAGCTGCTGTTCACAGGGACTCCATCTCTGGGCAAGGCAGTCTTAGCTGAGAGGAGCACTGGAGCACCAGAGGCCAGATAGAGCCATCATGGCAAGTGAGAGAAAGAAGCTTACCAAAGTGCTTACCAAATGCACATTCACAAGCTGAAGAAGCTTAGAGCTTTTGTTTAGTTATTGAGATTTCCCCGCACGAAGGAGCAGTCAGATGGTGCAGAATGCTCCCAGAGAAGGAATGGTAGCACTTACCGTGAGGAGGCAATATAGCCCAGCATATGTGCCACCAAGACCATGCCATGCAGCTTTTCCAGCCGTCTGCACAGATGGTGCATGGCTTCCTGGGCTGTGGTAGCAATTGTCAGTGCTGAGGGCAGAGTGTAGGATGCCCATCTCCTGGCCTCATTGAAGACTATCTTCAATAGCAGGGCATGCCCACCCTGAGGGAAGCTGTGCTGGAGAACAGTCTGCTGAGCTGGGCTTAGCTTCCGTCTCACTGATGCCAGCAGCACCTCCAACATCTTCCCACCTTCCTCTCTGGATAATGGACCCACTTCAAAGTAGGCCTCAGGCGCAGACATGGTCTCTCGGAGAGTTTCCAGAATCCCATGCTCTGCTGGGGACGTGGAGATAACGATGTGAACCTTTGGGGGACAGTCTTTAGGCAGCCAGCAGAGTCTGTGGGCACCGTCAGTAGGGCTTAGCTGGTCCACAGAGTCAAAGAACAACACCAGTGACTGCCTACCAAAGTGAGAGACAGTGAGGAGGAGGTTATGGAAAAACAGGATTAAATCACTGCAAGCCTGTGTAGCCTGGACAGGAAGAGGTGGCAAGCCAAATGCTAAACACACCTGGAAACAAATGTCCCTTAGTAAGCTATGAATTGCAGAGCTAAGCTGGGATGTCCCCAACTGGCGAATTACCACTACAGTCTCCTGCCCCAGGAGAGTCCGCACTTGCTCAGACAGTTTACACATCAGGGCTGTCTTTCCACAGCCTGGAAGCCCATAGAGAGTGAGGGGTGTGTGGACCTGCTCATCACTCTGTCTGATGCTTTGTAAAATGTTATCCAGTAAGTCCTGCCTCCCACAGAACACTCTGCAGCTCTCCAAGCACAGCTTCATGTGGTGGCTCAACTCCTGCAAAAACCCCTCTGGCTCCTCGCTGCCTTTCCCTCGGTATCGGAGACTTTCCAGGATCTGGTGATTGGTGGCAGTAATGAATTGTTCACACAGCTCATTCAGGTACTTGGTATACCCCTTGTTTTGGGGATTCCCAGGGTATACATTCCGTGGGACTGTGTGCACTTTGAGGTGCTGGGGGTAATGGCTTGCAATTTTTGCCTTGAGGCTGCGGAGAAGCTGTTGGGCTTCATTGTCCAGGCTGCCGTTTTCCTCTGTATCCACCGGCTGTGTGCTTGTCTCTTCCAGCAAGTGTTTGTCAAGGCCCTCAACCTCTCTGAGGAATATGGAAGCAGCCACATCAGTCTCTTGGGTATTGAGGAGGCCGTGTTCAATCTCCCACTCTGTCTCTACAAAAGTAGGGAGAGGTGAAGAACATTCATGTCCTACAAAGAGCAAAGGAGAAGCCGGACCCTAAAGCAGCCCAGCACACTCCTGGCCACTCACACTGCACCTTAAGAGCAGCTAGCGAGCTAGCACATTGCCCCCCACCCTCACCACAACCTAATGGTGACTCAAAATGAAGTTAAAGGCCCATCTTCTCTTGAAAGAAGGCAAAGCCAGGGTGCAGGGGGAGCGTCCTGCTTGGCCATGGCCATTGTCTCAGTTTGGGGCTCACCTGATTTGTTATAGCGATGCCTTTGCTCATGGCTGATGAGTCCCTGCTTCTCTGCTTTCCAGGCTGCCAGGCGCAGTGCCGAGGCCAAGTCTTTCTCCATGCTCCTCCAGACCTCCACATTCTCCTGGTGCTGAGCCTGGTTGGCAGCAGGGTGGCTGTGGGGCAGGTGGTCAGTAATTGGCTGCAGGACATACATGGAAGGAATGGCGTTCTCATCCTTCCAGTACCAAAATGTCAGGAGATGTGTGGCAGTGGGGTCCCCTGTCAGCTGTGCAGTCAGGGCCTCAAACTCCTCCTCTTCAATAAGACGGGGGATGGGTCTGTGTCCATAGTGATTTCCAAGCAGCCCCTGCAGTGGAGAAACCAGAAAAAAACATCATGCTCACCAGCATCATTATCTGCAGGCAAATGGGGGAACCCCATTCTCCGAGGTAAGCAGAAATGAAGGCCTGAGGCCCTGAGAGCAGCACGAGGCTTGTGCCTGGGAGCTGGGGAACTGGGAGCTGTGGCCCTGAGAGCTGGACTGTGCCTAAGACTCTGACCGATGGATTGGGCCTCAGGCTGAGGACTGGGGAGCCAGACCCATAGCGGGAAGCAGTCTGGACATGGCTGCTCGGTTATGAAATTACCTGACTGTCACTAGGGGCATCCGTAGAGTACAACATAGAGCAGCGAAAGGGAGCGTCTGAACTGTCAGAGCAGAGCACTGAGCACGCTCCTCTAGGGCACACACAGTAACCTCGTGCTGAGGTTCTAATTGACTCTCTCTGAGACCTGGCTGGCTTTGAAGACAGGAGACTCTTTGGGAAATCAGATGCACCTCACACAACTGCCTAATGACTTATTTACTTGCCTGCAGGTCTCACCAGAGCAGGGTCCTCCCCAGGGCCATGCCCTTACCAGGATGGGGATCTTGCTAGTGCACGTCTCTCTGTTCTGTCCTTATTTTTTGAGGAGCAATGTTAGTTTGAACTAAGGGGTTTGGTTCAAACTAACGCGTCCCGGTGCGCACTTTCACTTTAGAAACAGCTGTTGAGCGGAGTAACGTGCCGGCGAGATCATGTTAATGAAGCACGAGATATTTAAATCCCCACTTCATTAGCAATTTCTGTCACCTACATTTGCATCCCTATTTCGAACTAGGGAGCAAGTGTAGACGTACCCCCAGAGTCTGAGGTGCTGTGCAGGGGAGAGAGCTCTTGAAGTGATCGATGGCATGTCCATCCCCCTCTGTCTGACTCCTAGCTCTGGCTAATGCAGTCCTCTTCCCTACAGCCCATTATCTCCAATGCTGTAGTTCTGCTCCCCAAAACAGCCCACGTCTTCAGAGCTGGCCTTGACATGTGCCATGTATGTACCTTTGGGAGCAAACCCCACCTGGTGAAAGACTTCTGAAGCCTTTTCCCCCCAAGTAATGACAAGCACCCTGATCATCTCTCTGTGGGTATGGCTACACTGGGAGAAGGGGGAGGGTTCGAAGAAGGTATGCAAATTGTGCTCGCATTTGCATATCTTCTTTCTTTTTTTTTTCCGGAAGAGGATTTTCCAATATTTGGCCTGTCTACATGGGGCCAAATGTAAGAAATAAACTCTCTTTCGAAAGCCCCCTGTACACCTCATTTTACGAGGAATAAGGGGGCTTCCAAAAGAGGGGTTTTTCCGACATTTAGCCCTGTGTAGATGGGCCAAATATCGGAAAATCCTCTTCCAGAAAAAAAAACAGAAGAAGATATGCAAATGCAAGCACAATTTGCATACCTTCTTCAAACCCCCCCCCCCAAAAAAAGTGTAGCCATACTCTGTGTTGCTAAAATACTCCTGCACTTCCACATGAGCTCAGTAAGTTATGGATGTATGGCCAACCCCATATATCTTCCTTGATAGTGGGGTCTAAGTATGCACCTTTTGTACTTACGATAAAACTGGGACCCACTGACAGTTCCTGGCAGGATTCAATCTCCTCCAGACAGAGTTGTGTGCTCATGTGATCAATGTCTATAACGTCACAAACACCCCATCTCAAGTCAATTACCTGCAGAACAGCAAAAAAGCACAAGCTTCACAGCGAGCACAAAGAGAATAATTCACATCATCAGAAAATGGCAGTGATATGGAAGGACAAAGCTGCCCCATTGCTTTAATTTCATAAATCAACCAGGCCCATGTGATGTAATGACTAGAAACTTGGGAGAGGTATAGAAGCATGTAATTTCTTGCCAGGGATACCCATAAAGAAGCGCAAATTTGGGAATTTGAACCATAGGCACAGCAACTTGGCATGTGACTCATACAGTTTTGTTCCAGTCGAGGAAACTTGTTAATCTGAGGGATGTTTCTTACAATATTTATATACTGCTGCCTCTATGGTGGCATTCTCAGAAATGCTTCCAGTTCCACGCTCAGGGCCAGCTGGGCAGGCAGAGCTTCAGAGTCTCAATGTGTGGAAGAGATGATGGTGTAGGGAGGAGGGAGTTAGATTTATAAGGAATTGGGGAAACCTTTGGGATAGGGGGAGCTTATACAGGAAGAATGGACTCCACCTAAACCAAAGTGGATCCAGACTGCTGACACTTAATATTAAAAAGGTTGCAGTTTTTAAACTAAGAGATGGGGGAAAGCCGATTGGTGCAGAGGAGCATGTGGATCGGACAGAGACGTCTCTTAGAGGAGAGTCTATTGATAGAGATTCTCTAGGTTTTAGTCAGTAAGAGAGAATGGAAGAGGATAAAGTATGGGCCAGATCAGATGAGAAACATTCACATAAAAATAATCTGACACACTAGAAAAGGGCAGACAAATAAACAGAGACAAGTTTTTAAAGTGCTTGTACACAAATGCTAAAAGTCTAAATAATAAGATGGGTGAACTAGAGTGCCCCATCCCCTTGCCAGAACTTCCTCCTGTGTGCAATGCCAGCTGGGGGATTCCCGGGGGGCCTGGCACAGGCTGGTAGCAGGGGTTGCCCCTTTTCTGCACTCACTGGCTGTGTCTAGACTGCATCCCTTTTCTGTAAAAGGGATGCAAATTAGACACATCGCAATTGCAAACGAAGCGGGGATTTAAATCCCCCCTGCTTCATTTGCATAAACATGGCTGCCGCTTTTCCCGGTTCGGAGCTTTGCCGGAAAAAAGCGCCAGTCTAGACACGGATCTTTCGGAAAATAAAGCCTTTTCCGAAAGATCCCTTATTCCTCTTAAAATAAGAAAGAAGGGATCTTTCGGAAAAGGCAGCAGCTCCTGTCTGTGGACAGAGAGCCCAGGCAGGCAGCCATTCTGCACGGGGAGTTGGTTTTTAAACTGGCTCACCTCACAGACTGGCTCTTGCTTGGCACTCCACGCTGCTGTGGTGGAGGCTCCCCAGAAGTGGGACCAGATTGCACTGGCTGCCAGCTCCTCCCCCAGGGACTATAGAATAGTCAAGTAACCACTAAGAATTCATACGGTTACTAAACTAAAAAGTAAAATAGTTTACCTCAAACATTAAGCTGTGCTTCTGACAGAAGGCCTGGATTTCAGGGTATGCTGCCTCAAGCAGGATCTCTCTTTCTGTAGCCATGTCTGCAAAGAAGAACATAAGAACGGCCATACTGGGTCAGACCAAAGGTCCATCTAGTTCAGTATCCTGTTTTCTGTCAGGGGCCAATGCCAGTTGCTTCAGAGAAAATAAACACATGAAGGATTTGTGAAGCACCACAACAAAAGTTAGTAATCTAGTTGTATGTATTCCCTCCCCTACCTGTACTAGAATGGTTGTCAAATCCCACTCACATCTGGGACTGATCAGCCCCTCTGTTGGCCACCTCTCTAGAAAAGCCACAGCAAAGAGCCATGCCCATGGGGCAGAGCTATATTTGTGAAACTTCTGTGGCTGATGCCCCTGCTGTGAAACGAGGGCTCTCCAGAACTGTCAGTGCAGCTCTTTGTAATGGCATCATATCCACAGAATGAACCCAAGCAAGAGAGAAAGTGAAAAGGAACAAGGATGTGATGTTTGGGGAAATCTATGTACAACTTATAAATAAATACTAGTTGATTTAATTAAATTACTGTGTCATTGAGTTACTCAGTCTATTTGGATAAAGTAGGTAAGATTACATATTTTCTTGGACCGACATGGCTACAATGACATGCATAAAGTAGATCCTACCAAATTCATGCTCCATTTTGGTCAAATTCAGTCAAGATTTTAAAATTTGGGAATGTTATTTCAGTTGCTAAAATCTGAAATGTCCTGGTGTAATTGCAGAGGTGCGCCTCCTGATCCAGAAAGGAGTTGAGGAGGACAGGTTGCAAGGTTATTGTAAGGGGGTTATGGTACTGCTACCCTTCTGCGCTACTGCAGGTGGCAGCGTTGCCTTCAGAGTGGAACAGCTGGAGAATGGTGGCTGCCAGTTGGGATCCCACCTCAGAAGGCAGAGCTGCTGTCAGCAGCAGCAGTGCAGAAATAATTATGACATCATATGGTATTGCTAGCCTTACTTCTGTGCAGCTGCCTGCAGAGCTGGGCCCTCAGAAAGCAGCCACCAGTCTCCGGCCACCCACCTCCGAAGACCGCAGTGCAGAAGAAAGGGCATCATGGTATGGTATTGCCATCCTTCTGCATTGCTGCTGGTGACTCTGAAAGTAGCACAGATGTGAGGGTGACAATACTGCATCCCCCTCTAACCTTGCACCTCCACCACAACTGTCTTTTAGGCCAGAACCCTCAGTTTGAGAAATATTGGTCTCCCCCATGAAATCTGTATAGGATAGTATACAGTAAAACACACAAATGCAGATTTCATGATGAGACATCAGATTTTACAGTCTGTGATGCGTTTTTCATGGCAGAGAATTTGGTAAGTCCCTAACAGTAAGTGTATGTAGAGTAAGTCACCTGCTGTCAGGGACTGTGCTGCATATCTCCCAAACTAGGGACAATGGAGAGTTGTTAAACCTAGATGGCTCCCATTAGGAGAACGCCTGAGTTAAACCAATTTTCTCTGACTGCTGTGCAGTAGGATGGGTTCTAGAGGGTGGACAATCCCTAACCAAGAGAACAAAAAGGCCAGATATTAGTGCTGTGTCTTAAAATTTAGAGGTCTTGAAAGGGGAGACTCAGGACATGTCTAAATTACATCCCTCTTTCAAAAGAGGTATGTAAATTAGACAGATTGAAATTGCAAATGAAGCCGGGATTTGAATTTCCCATGCTTCATTTGCATAATGGCGGCCCCGCGTTCTTTTGAAAACAGGTCTTTTGAAAGTGAAACTGCTGTCTAGATGTGTCTAGAACTCTTTTTCGAAAGCTCCTGTACTCCTCATTTTTTTGACGAGTAGAGGATCTTTTGAAAAGGGGGCGGGGAGGATTTTGAAAAAAAAACGCATCTAGACAGCGATTTCACTTTTGAAATACCGTTTTCAAAAGACTGCGCAGCCGCCATTATGCAAATGAAGCGCGGGAAATTCAAATACCGGCTTCATTTGCAATTTCGATCTGTCTAATTTACATCCCTCTTTCGAAAGAGGGATGTAGTCTAGACATAGCGTCTCAGCATAAGGGAAGCTTGGGAAGGAGAGAGGCACATAGGGGCATGCTTTCATAGCTCAGGGTGCTTTTAACTGCAGAACCAATTAAAGAGGAGGGAACCGGCCTCAAAGGAAATGTAGATTTCATGTTTCAGGGGATAAGCCATGCACAAGAGAGGGGAATAGCACCAAAAGTGGCAGGGAGAGGAGGTAGAGAAATGCATCCAGTTGTATTGTTCTTTTGTCTACGTATTTCTTAAGCTAGCTAAAGTAGAAGTGCTTGTTTTTGTATACCCTTGCAAAGCCAGGGTGTCCTTCTGTTTCCACTGTCTTGTCTCTGTATGGGAAAACTGTAAACAAGAGTGTGCAAACAGTTGGAGCCTGAGAAAGGTTGTGTATAAGCTACTGGAGAGTCTGGGTATGTCTACACAGCAAAGTTATTTCGAAATAACTTTCCTAGCATCGACACAGCCAAACCGCTATTTCGAAATTAATTCGAAATAGCGGAGCACTTATTTTGAATGTGGTAAACCTCATTCCACGAGGAATAACGCCAAATTCGAAAGAGCTATTTCAAAATAAGTGCTGTGTAGACACTTATATCGAAATAGGAGGTCTCCAGCCTTCCCAGGGTGCCCTGGTGGCCACTCCAGCCTCAACCAAGAACACTCCTCTCC